TGAAGGGGTGTTGTTTTTTTTTAATTAAACTTTGTTTTTATTTGTTCTTTGTGTCTTTCACATCATGCATCTCAATCCAATTCATTTCCCATCTGTTCATATTCTCCCTCTGCATTTGCAACCCCTCCTCCCCCCCAAAAAAAGAAAAAAAGGAAATCTCATCATGGAAACTGTAGTTTGACATAGCTTCAAGAGAAAAAGAAAAAAAGGAAATCTCATCATGGAAACTGTAGTTTGACATAGCAAGTCACACAATAAACCCTTTTATCCATATATCTCTACATGCAAGTGTTCATTGCAAAGAGACATTGGTTTGATTTGAGGCCTCTGGTTTTTTCTACCCTATCAATGCTGGGCCCTCTCTGGAACTCCTCTTGGATAGCCTATTGTTGCCCTGTGTCTTGGAAATCCTGCAGCTTTGGGTCTGCAGGACTGTCCCCCTCACATGCTCTACCAGATCATAGATGGGATGAATGTTGGGGTGGGCCAATTAGTAACCCTGGTTCTGGCATGGGTAGTTACAGGGTTGGTCAGCTCACCAGATCTTCACCACCAGAGTGAGCTTTCTGTGGTTCTTCTTCTTCCCTTGGATCATCAGTTGCTGGTCCACAAGTGGGGAGGGAGCAGAAGCAGGAAACAGTGTTTGGATGGCTATGGATATGATGGAGTTAGCGCTCCAGGAGATGATTTCAGTGAATCAACTCAACTTTATTCCAGAGTAGAGAAAATATATAGGATTAGGAAACCAGGGGAAAAACCCTGATTTGCATTAAGTGGCATGCTCCTATCATATAGCTGGATTAGTGGAAGCACAGCCCTATCAAAATGGCTAGACCATTTGCCTAATTACCCTGTGGTCAGCAGGGAAGAATGTTTGCAGAGAACTATGTCAAGGGTCATCCGTGAGAAAAGTCGGGCATCTGGGCCTAGAGACATCCTCCAGATAAGGCTAGGTAGAAAGCAGGAAACCTTCATTTGGGGGTGGGAGAGGTCATCTATCACTGGAGGGATTCAAGACTGTCAGTTGTGGCTCTGCTTTTGTTTCCACAGAAGATGAGAACCTGTGGATTGCTTCCAGGCTAATATGGTTTGACCAGCCAAGACCCCTGAAAGGTCTCTGATGACACCATGGCCCAGATGATCCAACATCTAAAACCAGCTTCAAGGCAACTGGTTCAGAGAATACAGTGTCACAGACTACTCCAGTCAGGACTTGACTATATTTCTTAATTTTCTCAGGATCCCCTTTAGATTGTCACTGCCCTCATCCAGCAGGAAGTGTTGACAGTTGGAGTAGAGCCTTGTGAGAGCAGTGAATCCTTATTGGTGACAGCCATCCAAACTATACATTCTAGCATCCAATCTGACATAAGTCATAATCCTAAATTAATTCTGACTTGACCCATGAATATATTTAGAAAAGGAGTTTAAGCTCAATCTCTGCTTATTCTCATCTGTAAAATAGAAGATTTTGTGTGTGTGTGTGTGTGTGTGTGTGTGTGTGTGTGTGTGTGTGTGTGCGCGCGCGCGCGCGCGTGCACAAATCATTAAACTTAACTAATATAATGGCCTGTGAATAAAGCCCAGTTGGTGGAATCCTTGCCTGGCATGCATGAAGTCCGATGCTATATCCCTAATACCACATAGACTGAGTGTGGGGTGCCTGTTAAGAACTTGGGAGATGGAAACAGGAGGATCAAGGTCTTCCTAGCAAATTCAAAGTCAATCTGGATTACATGAGACCATCTTAAAAAAGAGAGAGAGATAATTTACATCAAGCATTAAATATACAGCTTATTAAAGAAAGCTTTGACTGCTATTTATGTATATTGTGTGATGTGTGCATACATGATGTGTGCATGTGTTTGCATGAGTCCAGGTACATGCATACAATAGTATGTATATAAAAGGTCAGAAGACAATGTGTTCTGATCTTCCACCATTTTTGAAACAGGGTCTTTTCTGCCATTCACTGCTCCATACTCTAGGATACTGACCAAGGGAGCATTCAGAGATAATCCGTCTCTACCTCTCATTTGCCAGTAGGGACAGGAAACTCTTTGCATGAAAGCTGACTGATGTTCAGTGGTCAACCACTTTTATCAAGGCTATGTCATGGATACATTGTACAACTTAATGAAAGTAAGATTAGCAAGAGAGTTGAGCTGACTCTTTGGGTAGAGGATCACTGTGCATTCTACCCTCAAGTACAGCATATAAACTGAAACCAGCTGTCTCTTGTTTGAGGTATGTGAATTGTGGAATGAAAGTTCTTTCTGGAAATCATACATACCTCTTTTCATGCATTATTTTCTAAGTAACAATGTTATTTTATACCCTTGACTATAAAAATTGTGTGTGCCTCAAATAATTATTCAACTTTGAATCTCATCCCTCCCTGTATTGACTGAAGTACCTAATAGAGAATGTTACATCAACTACTAAAATAATAAAAGGAAAATTAATTCACATTAGTGAAAGAAGCAAAAAATAGTGCATTTTACTGATTAATTTAAAATCTTCTAATGTGAACTAAACTGAATCAACTTGCAGGAATATTTATCTAAGATAATGGATTATCATGCACTTCCCATTAATTACCAAGTGAAAGAGCACCAATACTCACATAAACAGGGAAACAAGAGTTCACTGGAGATTGACAGACCCCTTGAAAATTGTGTTTGTGTGAAGTGAACTGCTCAGCATTCACTGGGAACAAAGTAATGATCCCTGGTGATTTAAATTTGCACTGGAATCCAGATCCTCACCAGGGACTTATCCTCAGTGACAGACAATGACAATGGGGACAGCTTTGTAGCTATAAAATCATAGTCATAGTGACTTTGAACTTCTTACTTTGAAATGAATTCTTATTTCAAGAGGTAAGATTGTGATTTATTGGTAAATGGAGATATTTATTCTTGGAAAATGTACTGTATCTATGAAGCATGGTGGAGAAACAAGTCAAATGGAGTCAGGTAATCATGTACCAGAAGGGAAATAAACAGACTTTGTAGAAATCACCATATGCTTCCATAGACAAATTATTCAGAATGACTGGGCATAAAACTAAGTTTTCTTTTTTATTTTTATTTTATTTTTTATTTTTTTTGGTTTTTCGAGACAGGGTTTCTCTGTGTAGCTTTGCGCCTTTCCTGGAATTCGCTTGGTAGTCCAGGCTGGCCTCGAACTCACAGAGATCCGCCTGGCTCTGCCTCCCGAGTGCTGGGATTAAAGGCGTGCGCCACCACCGCCCGGCTTCTATTTTATTTTATTGAAAATTGATTCTTCTCTCATACACTATATCCTGACCAGTTTCCACTCACTACACTCTTCCCAGCTACCCCCAAGTTTTCAAAGATTCCTTATTTATCTATGCATTGGTAAGACCAGAAACTAACATGACCTTCAAATTTGTATACACATAGCATTCAGCCAAAAGGCTAACAAGTTCACTAGCTTTGAAATACTGTGGTGGCTTACTATCAGGGAATATCATGTGCAAAGACAATCTTTGTTTATGGACTGAATGTTCCAGCATCACAGGCATCACTGTGGACAAATGAGGATGTAAATGCAGAATGTGAAGGATGAGAGTCATTCTGTGCCATGCTAGCAGAACCTTCATAAACCTATTTGAATACTTATAGATAAGTTTCCTCTGTTAAAAATTATGTGAACTTTTTCTATCACACTCCTGTTACAAAACACTGTGGCATTGGGAAAAGATTTGGTGTGCTTTAATAAAAAATAAGTAATACTGTGCTAAATTATTATTATTCATATTTTACATGATGAAATTAATATTTCAAGGTACTTTAAAGAGTGATGATCTATTTAGAAGTATTTAAAATATTTAATGAGCTTATAACAGGAAGTTGCATTTGTAAATTTAGTGTGACCTCTCTTCTATTTCTTCTCAGTTGTAACAAGAAAATTTATATTCTTTTTAGAAGTTGATCAAGACATAACCTTACTTAAAGAAATGATAGCTGTTGTGACCAGTATCATTTACAAAGGACCCCTCAATGTATTAACTATAAGAAAGCTGAAAATCCACCCTGATGTCTGTCACTAATTTGTATGTGCCATCAATTGCATGGCCACACATTATTTATAGTATAGAATTCTCTGAGTTAGGTCAACCCACCTGGTGTTCAGATCTATTCATTTTTTAAAAGATTTATTATTTTTATTTTATATTTATGAATGTTGCCTGCATATACATATGTATACACCACATACATGCCTTGTGCCTGTGAAGACCAGAAAAGATCATTGGATCCACAGAACGAGAACCTCAGATTGCTATGAAAAATCATATGGGTGCTGGGGAATCAAACCCTGGTCCTTTGCAAGTGCAGCAAGCTCTCTTAACTACTGAATAATCTCTGAAGCCCCATAATTTTGTTACTTATTATATGTACATGCATACATATTTATACATATCTATGTGTATGTGTTACATAGCTTAAAACATTTTTCTGCTGTAATGGAAATGATAAAAAATGCTGTTTAATGGAAAGAAAAATAGAAAAATATACAAGTTTCTAAAAATGCTGTGCTGGTGATGTAGTAAGTATTTAGCAATTATTTAACTCTTTAAACATAACTCTCTGCTTTTACATTTTGGTCTTTTGTTACACTTATAATAAGAATATTGTTATTTTCTTAAGAATCACATTATTTTATATTTATTTATTTCTGTGAGGGAGTGGTGCAGGTAACAGATATGCTTTACTATAAATAAATATAAATAAAAGTTATTTACTAAATTTCTAGCATTTCTGCTTAAATTATTTGAAAGGAACTATTGTACACAATGTATAAATAATGATAACCCTAGTAAAATGTTCATTATTGGTCTAATTTTTTAAAAAAATATATTAGTCAGTAATTCTCTCCCATGTATACATCAAATAAAATGAAGTGACTTATTTATAAATCCCTTACTATTATGTCTCCATCACAGCCTTGCTCTGGCAGCAGCTACACTGTCCCATGGCTTTCCTGGAGGATGGGAACCACACTGCAGTGACAGAATTCATTTTATTGGGCTTAACAGATGACCCGGTCCTTAGAGTCATCCTCTTCATCATCATCCTGTGCATCTACCTGGTGACTGTGTGTGGGAACCTCAGCACTATCCTTCTCATCAGAGTCTCTTCCCAGCTTCATCACCCCATGTACTTTTTTCTCAGTCACTTGGCTTCTACTGACATAGGCTATTCATCTTCTGTCACACCCAATATGCTTGTCAATTTCTTGGTAAATCAAAATACCATCTCATACCTTGGATGTTCTATACAGCTTGGCTCTGGTGCCTTTTTTGGGACAATTGAATGCTTCCTTCTGGCTGCCATGGCTTATGATCGCTTTGTAGCAATTTGTAACCCATTGCTTTATTCAAACAAAATGTCTACACAAGTCTGTATCCAGCTAGTTGTAGGATCTTACATAGGGGGTTTTCTTAATGCTTCCTCCTTCACCATTTCCTTCTTTTCTTTTCTCTTTTGTGGACCAAACAGAATCAATCACTTTTTCTGTGATTTTGCTCCTTTAGTTGAACTCTCCTGTTCTGATGTCAGTGTCTCTGCAGTTGTTACCTCTTTTTCTACTGGATCAGTAACCATGATCACAGTGTTTGTCATTGCTATCTCCTATACCTACATCCTCATCACCATCCTGAAGATGCGCTCCACCGAGAGCCGCCAAAAGGCCTTCTCCACCTGCACCTCCCACCTCACTGCAGTCACTCTGTTCTATGGGACCATCACATTCATTTATGTGATGCCCAAGTCCAGCTACTCCACAGACCAGAACAAGGTGGTGTCTGTGTTCTACCTGGTGGTGATCCCCATGTTGAACCCCCTCATCTACAGCCTCAGGAACAATGAAATTAAGAGTGCTCTGAAGAGACAGCTTGGTAAGAAAATATTTTCTTAGGGCAATCTATTGTTTCATAAAACTTAATATAATAATGATAATTACCCAAGACCAATGGGACCATTATCTCAGGTTTGGTTATTAGGCTTCTTGTTATACCTTTTGTCTTCACCTCCTTTTTCTCCCAGTATGTATAGATTCTGTATTTATTGCATTTCTCTTTTTTATATTTTAATGTGTCTTTGAAAATATTGTACAATGTATTTTGATCATGTTCATACCCTCTCCCAACTCCTTTCATTACAGCTCCCTTTCCTACACACCCAACTATTCTTTTTATCAAAACCAACTTGTGCTACCTGTACATCCTTAAGTGTACATTCTTCCACTGAAGCATGTAGGTCCACACCCTTAAAAAAACTGACCCACCTCCTGGAAGGTATCAATTGTCAACTCCTCAGCTACAGATGAACTTCATGCTCATGTCCCCTCTCCATACTGGGGCTTTGTATGATTTTATCTTCTGCATACTGACACAGGTAACAAGAGTTCATATCTGCAATCATTCTGTTTTTTCCAAAAAGGATGGAGTCCACTAAATTATACAGTAGATTACAGCTGGTATTTAGAAGGTTCACCGAGCAGAAATATACATATCTGATGGAGGGCAAACTCATACACAGGGCAATGAGAATTGCCACCTTTTAAATTGATGACGGCTTCTTACTGTAAATTTCTTGTGTGATGCCCTGGCCTTCTCCCCGTAACAGCTTTGGAACTTGTTCCACAATCTTAGCAGTGTATTTCTCATTTGTTGGGTACAATTATTCCTGTTTACTAATAGAAGGATAACTTCCACCCACACTGTGTAATTCTGGTGAGAAAAATAAGTCACACAGTCAAATCATTATTCCACATTCCAATAAAAACTTAGAGGTCTGTTCTTTGCAATTATCTTTATGACAGGACAACTTGGCCAGACAAGGTGTTTATGTGAAAAGATCACAAATGGGACTTTCACAGATAGGCTCAAGGATAGAATTACAGCATTTGTTGAATCAAAGCCCCTCAGAGATAAGAAGAACAGAGCACCATAAAGTCACTCACCTACCAATAACAGGAAGTACAACTCAGGTATCCCTGCTTTGACCTCAGAAGGCTATTAACACTTTCACCTCGGTACATTGATGCAAGATTTTAGCTTAGGAGACTAACTGTTTATGTTTTAGCCCTGAGATTTGTGTGATTAACTGAAAGAGGTTGTTAACTGAATTGAGCAGCTCCAGAGAGAGGTAATCTTCTCACACAGTCACTGTGGCAACAGATGGCCAGAGCAGCTGGGAGGTGTCAGGTCCAGATTTTGTACAAAATAGTTATAGGTCCTCTCTTTGTTCTAACCAGTTAGGGTAAAAGATGCATTTTTTAGATCTAAAAGGCTCTTCACTGCCAGTTAACATTTGGTTAATATGCTGATGCAAATCAAACACTGCACACTTCCCCTGTGGTTTACATGGGTTGCATGGTTACACTGACACAGCCCCCTGGGCACAGCTGCATTCCCTGCATACCAGGAGAGAAGCATCATCTGCTGCATTTTGCCTTTTTCGTGTTTTATCAGTCACAAACTTTTAGCTTATCTATCTAGTCACATTTAAGGAATGTAGAATAATACACGAATTCCCCTTTTCCTTCTTAGATTTCTATATTGGTTTAATTTTTCCCCTTTATGATCCCTTCCCCTTTAAGAGTTAAACAGAACTTCTTACAGCCACACCTGCCACCAGCCATAAAAAAAGAGGTGACAAGTCATCTCTTTACATAACTCTTATCTGCTTTATGACCCTGAGGTTAAAAAAAAAGCCTTGTAACCTTTCTATTGCTAAAGAAATGTGTTGTATGTGTATATAAACTGGAAACATTTGAAACTTGACACAGAAAAATAAAGAGATATGACTGGAACAGCACACATGTGAGTTTTAAATATCCTAAGTTCCCTTTGCTTCACTGTGGCTTCTGACCAGAACCCTGGAGGTGGCCTTACAGAGCTGCAATCCAAGCCTACCAATATGAAAGCATTGTTTATTTGTAGCCATCTATCAGCTCTGGCTTTTACAATCTTTCCACACACTCTTTCACAAAGATTCCTGACCTTGGAGAACCAGGGATATGATACAGATATAGTGCTGAGTCTTCCACAGTCTCTAATTCTCTGCATGTTCATAAGTTGTATGTTAATCACCATCTACTGCAAAAAGAAGCTGTGCTGATGAGGGTTGGGAGATGATCTCTAGGTATGATGATAAGTCATTGCAAATTAGCTTAATATTATGTCCATTTAGGGGAATAATGATGGTGGGTTCTTCCCTATGGCCTATGACCTGTCTAGTACAGGTTTTTGGCCCTGAGAGTCATGTTAGTTGTGAACTTCATCTTGTGGAGTTAGACTTAGATCCAGTAAGAAAAGTGATGTTTATTTCCATGATATTTGCCACTATAGCACCAGTAGTCATGTCTTTCCAGACTGATGGTTATTGTACTTGAAGTGTTCACAAGACAAGTTGTCTGCACAACACTTTAAAAATATAGTTATATTAGGCTACTTCTATTTTAAAATTTTAATTCTTTCCATTCACTTTAGAAGAGACTCCAGATTCTTACTGTGAATCTTTCCTTGGATTGTCCTGACTTACTTTTTGTTTCTTGAGGTTATAAGGATGAGTGAACTTGCAATTTTCCATCTGGAAGCTATTTGCCCACTCTCCATACCTACAAGCCCTTCTTAGTTTCCTGCTCAAATGTCATTTGCCCCATGGGGATTTCATTCCTAACCTACACAAGCTAATGCCACACAGTCCTGCCACAGCTAACACCAACCAGCCCTCAGCTAATACCATCCAGCCCTGCCACAGCTACCTTTACCATTCATACAAGCTCCAGTTATTCTTCTCCACCAACTTCTAAGTCTCAAAGGTTAATTCTTTTCTAGTCTACTCACCACTGAGGTATCAATTTCATGAGAACTGTTTTATTCAGAAATATATCTTTAATGTCTACTTGGTGCTACAATACAATAAATACTCAAAAAATACATCTAGATGGAATTAATACCTCAATGGTTTTCCTGTATCTACCTGTAAAATAATTCCAAAGCTGATACAATGTTCCAGAAATAATTTTAACTCATAAAGAAAGACACTACTGATTTTTGATGCCTTCTCTCAGCTGTCTTCAAATATGTAAAGAATAAGCCTGAAATCTTCATTGATATGTAATTTAATGTATCTTACTGGTCATTAATTTATTATTTCTCAGATATCCATGCTCAGTTAATGCCTAATGCAAAATTCAGAAAACAGTTGGATATTCTGACCTCAGAGATGTGGATTCAGTGTTTATGGGGAGGTCAAACTTTATGTTCAGGAATTTGGGGTTTACATGACTAAAGTTCTAAGGAATCGTGTAGTCAGATGCTTAAATTTTCACCAGATATTTTGAGATGACTGTGGAGTGATAAAACTAGGAACAAATTGTCAGGAAAGGTTGCTATAAAGCTCCCAACATGAGAGTTGTTAAGATGAAAAAGCAAATGTTTAGCAGATAAAATCATTGCCACCATGCCTGATAATATGGCTTTGATCCCAAGGATCTAAATGGTGGGAAGAAAGAACCAATTCTCATAATTTGTGCTCTTAAACACAGAGAGAGAGAGAGAGAGAGAGAGAGAGAGAGAGAGAGAGAGAGAGAAATAAAGAAGCAGGCTAGACAGACAAAAATACTACAAGACAAGGAGATACAGATTAGAATTAAGAGGACACTGGATGGAATAGAGAGATGGCTTAGTGATTAAGAGTACATACTACTTTCCAGAATTCACATTGTGGCACACAACCATCTATAATTCCAATTCTAGTAGATTCAACCCACTCTTTTGCCTTCTGTAGGGAATAGGCATGTGCATGGTGTATATCCATGCTGGCAAATCACACATATACATAAAAATAATAGAAAATTAACTTTTTCAAAAGAAAAAATGATATTGGAGAGAGCTTATCTATGTGAACTAAAGAAATCTCTCTCATTTACCTGGGTCTTGAATCTTACAATGTCTATTCCTATGATAGCAGTGGCCACAGTATTAGTAACAGATTTTACTGCTACATATATTAGCCTCTACTTTCTTACTTAATTTTGGAACCTCAACAGAATACTGTGAATTACAAAATGCATTCAACACATCTGGGCCATGGGAGTCAAGGCATCCCCTCCTCTTTGATTGATCCCCATCTAACAGTAATAAAGTTCTATGTCCTAATATTCTTCAATCCATGGTGTCCTTATTTTCTATTTATTTATATAACTGATTTACATGGTCTCTGTCTTCTAGAGACCTAGAGTTCACTTCCTAGTCATTATCCTCTAATGATAGGTGTTAAAGTTATCTAAAAACATCTAACCTCTATTACCTTGCATAAAGCCTTTCAGGGTAGTAAAACTTTCTTTACCTCTACCAGCCCCAAATAATGACATGGAAACTTATTACTAATTATGAAAACTTGGCCTTGGTTTAGACTTGTTCCTAACTAGTTTCTATAACTTAAATTAACCCATATTTTTAAATCTATACTCTGGCACGTGATTCATTTCCTCATCTCCATACTGCCTATACTGCTTCCTCCAAGCCTGGCTGACAACTCCACCTTTCTTCTTCCCAGAGTTCTCTCTCCAAGTGGAAGTCTTGCCTATACCTCCTGCCTCACTATTGGCCATTCAGCTTTTTATTAAACCAGTCACAGCAATACATCTTCACACAGTGTACAAATATCCCACAACATTTATCCCTTTTGCCAAAATAAAAAGGAAAGGTTTTAACTATAATGCAGGAATATTATATACAATAAGAATAATTATGAAGTAGGAATTATACTCATATTGTCCAGTCCATTTGTATTTCGAAAATTTGGAGAAATTACTCTATTATCTATCTTATCTTGATGAGTTCAAAGTTTTGTACCTAAACCATTTTCTATCATAACTCGTATTATCATCCTAAAAATATCTTT